TTTTGCCTCTGCAAACATATACAAACAAATGCCATTCCTTTCTCACTTTCCTAGGGGAAGGGAAATACATAACTCTTTTTAGTTGTTACATCTGATTCTTGATTTTATTTTGGTCTGTAGCATACCTGCAAAGAGGCAGTTGGAGATAAGCAAGAGAAGAACTATTACTGAACACATAAAATGCTGATTTTTCTATTATTTCAAAATGCATGGCAGAAGAGGAAGAGAGGCTGATGGGACACCGGTTGAAGGAAGATGAGGAAAAGATGAATGAGCCTAGGGAGGAACCTCACTTGAATGACCTCCAGTTCACTAAACTCGACGAGCTTCTAACACAAACACAACTTTACTCAGAGTTTCTGCTGGTGAAAATGGACACCATCACAACGGTTTTTTTCCTTTCTGTAAATCCTTTGTGTTGTTTTGAACATGGATGACAATAATATTTATGTTAACAACTGGTGTTTGGATTTGTTTGAATGCCCTGGAAAATGACAACCAAACTGTTAAAGAAGGCAACAAGGGACGTGGTTCAAAAAGAAAGACTAGCACAAGTTATAATACTGTAATCAATCTTTTCATCCTTTACTGTTGAACTTAAGATTTTACTGTCTCTGTTTATGACATAAAGACCTGAGTTATAAAGTACATGAGATTTTTCTGTATTCTAAGAGTTGAGTTTTAGCTGAATTTTTAAATAGGTCACACGTGTAGCTACTTTTCTGCTGCCTCTTCATTGAGTTTTTCAAGTTTGAAACTACATACATGGATTTTTTAAATCTGAGCAGATAGATGCTCCACGGAAAGTTTCTGAGAGTCGAGTTTTGGCTGAATTTTTCAATAAGTCACGTGTAGCTAATTTTCTTGCTGCCTCTTCTTTGCAATTTTCAAGTGTCTATTGTGGATTGCATAATCTCTGTGAAATACTTCTTTCTAGATTTGACCTATATCATTTCTTTAATATCATCGCCCTTTAGGAATTCCCTTTTTAATTTAAACTATATTACTTTTTTGGTATCTGTGTCTTTTATGTTTAGTATGCAGACCCGTTCTTAAATACTGATGCAGGGACAATGTCGCATTTTGAGCATGGAGAAATATACATTTTGGATGACGGAGGAGAGGTTAGAAAAACATCCTTTAATTAAGCTTAGTTTGCTTAGATCTAAATATTTGGTTTCACTTGAATTTAGTTTTAGTATTGTTTTAATTCTACCATTAACCTGTGATCCATGGTACTAGATTTAATTGAGGTTACTATCTTATGAAGATAGCAGCTATTTCTTGCTTCTTCCTATAGCATTTAGTCTTTCTGTAAATTTTGATGTGAAGTCTTGACTGAAGTGGAGGTTGAAAGTTGAATCTTCCTCTTACAAAAAGTAAATGATGACTTGATTCCAATTTTCGAAGGCAAACCTCGACCTTGGAAACTATTAGCAGCTTATAGATATATAATTAACACATGAGAATAATATAATTACTGGAAAAATTTACTAGGCAAGTTCTTTGCTTATTATTACTATTTTTAGAGAAAATCTAATCCATATCTGCTACATTGAGGTCCTTAACAAGTTGGCTGATTTCAATTTGGTCAATTGTGCTTCTTGTCTTGTTTTAGTCTGTTATTTGATAAGGATAGTAAGGAAGATTATCTAGGAAACACTGTTCAGGTTTGGCACTAATTTTTAAGTTTGTTTTTATGTTGTATTGTCTACAATGGTGCATAATTTCATGCTTCTCCTCTGATTTAGGTTGTACCTCACATTATCGATTGCATTCAATGTGTGGCCCATATACTGGTGGATGTAAAAAAGGGTCCATCTGATGTTTGTGTTCTCGCTGTACGGAGGATTTTTTTTTTCAATGAAGCTAATAATATCTTTCCAAAATGTTGGATCTGTACTCCTATCTCATGATCCAAATGTCTGATTTATACTACATTTATGTTTTTTGGTGTCTTGGAAATGATGAAGATGGATATAAGTGGACTGTGCTCATCAAGAATCTGGTGTTATTGTTTCTGAATTTTGGATAATTTTACTTATTTAAAAAGTTTACCGTTGTTTACTTTCGTTGTCCGATTGGTTGAAGTTGGATTGTGACATGTTCCATGACATTTTTTTTTTTTGAAAATCAAAGTGGTGAAGCTCAACATGTTGAATGCAATGAGATCCAGACACCGACTGATATGGTGGTCGTGCCTTGCGATACCTTAGCACCTGTACCTGAGGGTGATCTTCATATATTAGTTGTACTTATCTCCCTCCCTTTTTGAAGTTAGATTATCAAAAATATATAAACCTGAGTGCAAATCATTTTTCGTCAAAGACTTACGATTAAATTAACTATCTTGGTTAATGCAGATCCTACAGTGACTCAAAAAGCTGTTGGGCAAACTTGTGGTGTTAAAACTTAATGAAATAATTAGTTAGTTGATTATTAAGTAAACTTAGTTAGTTGAGGTAATTCGGTGGGTTATTTTTTAATTTCATTTCTACTTTCCTTGGTCCTTGATTTTGTATCATTCTATTGATTATATACAAATGTTT